AGGTCATTCCAGGAGTGGCTGTCTGAAAACAATGCAGAGAAGAGTGGAGAGGGGAGAGACCTGAGCCCAGATGGACCTGAAGCCAGCTGCACCTCAGACCTTTCCATCTCTAGTTGTCTGCATTAATACGTTTCCTTTCTTGCTTTATTAGTGCACGATGATCAGAACACTAATTAATGTTCTGATGCTTGTAACCCAAAGAGTGAGTTACTGCAAGGGCCAGCATGACCCATGGCTGCAGGACACGCAGATGGGACCACAAGGTAGCTATTTACAAGGCAGAGTCAAGATTCAAGTCCAGGTTCCCAGGCACCACAGTGCTGACCATCACCTGTTTCTTGGGATGCCCCTGAGTCATGACTGTCCACAGCACGGTGGAGGCTGGGCCACGGGGCAGCTCCCAGGGGCAGACTTCAGGGCCCATCTGGCCAGAGCCCTCCCTGCAGCATCCCATGTTTGCTGCACTAAGCTCAGCCTCTCCCCACAGACTGAGGGCTCCCTCTGTCCTTCAGTCAACACCCTCAGGCCTGCAGCGTGCCTGGCAAAACAAAGCACGAGGAAGTCGGGGGAACAGGCTACACAGCAGGCCGCCTTCCCTCCATCGCACAACAAATGCAGCCCTGTGTGAACAACACAGGGCTGGAAATGACCCAAACATCCTTGTGGGGACTGGCCAAGTGCATTACAGGGCATCCCAACAGCACGCCCAGATTCCATCCCTGGACCAAAACAAGGTAGCACCTACCTCTGATACATAGACAGGCACAGACCACCCGAAAGGGAAATGGCAAACCGAAAAAGGCAGCCCATGCAAGACAATGTGGGATAATGCGGGATGCCCGCTGAGTTTAAAAAAAAAAAAAAAAAAAAGGAGTTACTACTTTAAATTAAAATTAGTTGAAATGGGCTGGGCGTGGTGGCTCATGCCTATAATTTCAGCACTTTGGGAGGCCAAGGTGAGTGGATCACTTGAGATCGGGAGTTCCAGACCAGCCTGGCCAACGTGGTGAAACCCTGTCTCTACTAAAAATACAAAAATTAGCTGGACGTGGTGGGGGGCACCTATAATCCCAGCTACTCAGGAGGCTGAGGCAGGAGAATCACTTGAACCTGGGAGGCAGAGGTTGCAGTGAGCCGAGACTGTACCACTGCACTCCAGCCTGGGCAACAAGAGCGAAACTCTGTCAAATAAAATAAAATAAAATACAAAGTAAAATAAAATAAAAGAAAGACACAGGGCTGCCGCAGCAACAAATTGCCACAAGCTCTCCCAGTTCCAGGGGCCAGAAGGTATCTGTGGTGTGGGCTCCTCAGGAAGTGTCCCTCCCATACCCCTCCGTAGCTCTGGTGGTACCAGCATTTTTGTGCTCCTTAGCTGGCACATGCGGCATGCCAATCCCCACTCTGCCATCACCTAGCTCCCTGGTCTGTGCATCTCTGTCTCAAATCTCTTCTTGCCTTTTCTAAGGACAATTGGCACTGGATGTAGATGCACCCTAAATGCTGGATGACCTATTCTACCTTGAGATCCTTAATGATACCTACAAAGACCCTATTTTCCAAGGTCACATTCACAGGTACTGGGGATAGGACTTGGACATACCTTTTAAGGCCGACAGGATTCAACTTACTACACTATTTCACTGAGGAGGGGTGCAAGGCTCGCTAGAGCCAGCTCACATTGGGCCCCCTCCCAGTCCTCCTGCCAGCAATATCCATTGGTTGGGGCGAGAGAGAAGCCCCTGCCACCAGGCTCAGCCTTGCCATGGATGGCACACCCAGAAGAGCCGCACCTCCTCTGGCCTTGCTTATATGCCTGCTGCATGCTAGGATCCAACAAAAGATTCCGCTGACTCCCCGGGCCACCACACAGAAAGCTGTGGCCAGCTCTAATCAGACTGGAAGCCCCCACTGCAGAAGGTGGTCTGCATCTCCACACTCCAAAAGCCCATGGGACACGCTGAAGCCTTGGAGCCTTGGAGCCCGGGAGAAGAGAAATGAGTTAAGGCTTCTGGTGTTAGAGACAAGGGCCTCTGTTCTATTTTTTCTTTGAGATGAAGTCTCACTTTCTCACCAGGCTGGAGTGCAGTGGCACGATTTTGGCTTACTGCAACCTCCACCTCCCAGGTTCAAGTGATTCTCCTGCCTCAGCCTCCCAAGTAGCTGGGACTACAGGTGCAGGCCACTATGCCCATCTAATTTATATATATATATGTGTATATATATATATATATATATATATATAAATATATATGTATGTATGTGTGTGTGTATGTATGTGTGTGTGTGTATATGTATATATATATATACATGTATACATTTAGTAGAGATGAGGTTTCACCATGTTGGCCAGAATGGTCTCAATCTCTTGACCTCGTGATCCACCCACCTTGGCCTCCCAAAGTGCTGGGATTATAGGCATGAGCCACCGCACACGGCCCAGGGCCTCTGTTCTTTATATGACAAGGGGCTCATGTGCCTGCCTGCTGGGGTTTTGTGTCAATGAGGGCTCCAGTCTAAAGGGCTCAAGCAAGTGCTCCGACTTGAGGTGACAGGAGAGAAAGTGCAGGCATAGACACAAGTGTGCAGAGGGGTCTGGCTGGGGTCACCGTGCTGCACCCCAGGACCACACTGACCACACCTGCCAGGACGTCCTCCATCACAGCCTGTGGCCCCTGGGACAGCATCAGCACAATGCTGATGGCCAGCAGGGGCTCCCCAGGGAGCAGGGGAGCCTACCATGCCTTCTTCTCAGTGGGACCGGAGGCTTTCACCAGGCTTTCAGTCCCCATGGTCTTCCCAAGACCTTCTTGGGGCTTCTTTCTAGAGGAGTTCAGGACCCCCATTCCCTGTGCCCTGCTCCTGAGGGAAGGCAGGACACAGCCCATGTGTAGTCACTGACTAACTTATACTTTCTCCATAATCTCAGAAAGACGCCCCAGAGCCTGCTTCAAGATGTTATTTACTGATAAAGACTCTCAGTGCTAGTAAGGGGCAGACCCAAGATGGGGCCCCACTTCTGATTGACCCAGGAGCTCCATGCCAGCTTGTGGCCCCTTCTCCCACTGCCCATCATCATCAGTCTTGGGGACTTTTCAAGCCTTCTGTCAGTAACAGCAAGAAACCCATCTCATGTCATCCACATCCAATCTACAAATATAAATAGCCAAAACCAAAATTTCACTTGGGCATTTTTTATTCCAGTCTTTTCTGCTAGTTCACAATTTCACACTAGTGGTTGCTGACAGCAACCCACTAAACTGATTGGGTATCTCACAAATGGGGTGTGACTCCAGTTCAAAGAACACATACAGGTATGCATCCAAACAACACTCAGAAAGAAAGAGGGGGAAGAAAAAGAAGAATAGTTCCCATTTTACAGATCAAGCAAAAATCCATTTGTGGATGTGATTTTTTTCTCCCATTTAATTGCAATTTCTGACTTACTGATCTGTGAATGGAGTCATTCCCGTGTCAAATCCTCTTTCTCTTATTAAAACTTCAGGGGTCCTATAAAGGCTAGCTCAAGCTCAACCATAAAAATCTTCTCCCACTCAGCCCTTGGAGACAGAATTTTTATACCATGAGATCCACCTTTGCAGAAATCCTGGGGGCATCTCCCAACCCTGGGATGTTATCAGTGAGTTTGGTTTCTGGACCACTTGGCTAATGGAAAGAATGACAGTGAGGACAAGGTACACTGTGCAGCTCCCGTGTTCTCAGGACCAATAACAAATGTCACCTTTCTACACGTTGAGAAGTCGGAGATACATCACAATTTTCCACTCATTCACTGGTATTAGACACCATCCTAAGGCAGGGTCATTCCAACCCTGAAAACACCAGCATTAGAGATCACACACTGGGTCATGGCCTGTACAAAGCCCTGCTGAGGACAGCCAGGAAACCTGTTATAAGCCTGGAGTTGAGCCACATGGATTAGGAGGCAACAATTTCCGGTTTTATTCACAGCCATCTTGGTCTACACCAGCAAAACCAAAGAAAGTCCATGATAATTTGAATAATTCAGACCTCGTTTCCTGTTTCCTTCCTCTGCCTCCACCGAAAGAAATGAAAACAAGAAGCCCACGTCCACCAGATTATTTATCTGCCTTCCGCATGTTTGACATAGCGCTCTGATCGCAACACTGGTGCGGCCGGGCGACTGGGACTCCAGACTGTCGTCTCCTGTCAGTTCACATCCCATCAGTTCACACCCATTTCTCCATCTTCGAAATGGGCCAGCTGCTACTTCCCTACAGTCTTAAGTCTTTTCTTTTTCTTTTCTTTTTGAGACCAAGTCTTGCTCTGTCACCCAGGCTATACTGCAGCAGCATGATCTCGGCTCACTGCAACCTTTGCCTCCTGGGTTCAAGCCATTCTCCTGCCTCAGCCTTCCTAGTAGCTGAGATTAACAGGTGTGCACCACACCCAGCTAACTTTATTTTTTTTTTTTGAGACAGAGTCTCGCTCTGTCACCCAGGCTGGAGTGCAATGGAGCGATCTCGGCTCACTGCAACCTCCGCTTCCCAGGTTCAAGCAATTCTCCTGCCTCAGCCTCCTGAGTAGCTAGGACTACAGGTGCCCACCACCACGCCTGGCTAACTTTTCTATTTTTAGTAGAGACAGGGTTTCACCATGTTGGCCAGGCTGGTCTTGAACTCCTGACCTTGTGATCCGCCCGCCTCAGCCTCCCAAAATGCTGGGATTACAGGCGTGAGCCACGACACCCGGCCCCTGCCATCTAAGTCTTTAAGCAGCTAAGTCATCTCTAACAATATCTAAGCTCCTCCACCAATACCACCCAGCAAGCTGAGTCAGTTTACTTTGCTGGAAAGTGACCAAAGAGCCTGCCAGGGACAGCGTGGGAAGAAAGGCCTTAGGACAGTGCACGAATACGACAGCCTGACCCCAGTCAATCTTCTGGACCATGCTGTTCTCAGCAATCCCAAGCAAATGGCGCAAGTCAGGAGGCAGAAGGGAGCTCAACCTCCACTTACCTGGGGGGCAGACACATTCAGATGGGGCTTCCCGAGCAGTCCGGAGCTTCACTAGTCCATCCAACTTCTGAACCGGAAAGAAAAAGAAAGAAAAAAAAAGAACAGAGAGAATGAGTTTCAGAACAGAGAGGGGTAAAAGTGGAAACATCAGCAAAAACAAATGTAGGCAAACCATCTACAGTGCTGGGGGTGTCTTCCAAGCCATTTCTCAAAAGATCGTTACATTCTATAGGGAATTTTAGAATGAGGAAAAACAAACAAAAACACGAAACAGTTACTGGTGAGTCCCTGAAAAGAAGGTGGCAGGTTTCTGCTTTGTTACCGCATTTTCTTTTTCTTTTCTAATTTTTTTTTTTTTTTGAGACAGTCTTGCTCTGTCACCCAGGCTGGAGTGCAACCTCCACCTCCCAGATTCAAGCGACTCTCCTGCCTCAGCCTCCTGAATAGCTGGGATTACAGGCACCCGCCACCACACCCCGCTAATTTTGTATTTTTAGTAGAGATGAAGTTTTACCATGTTGGTCAGGCTGGTCTTGAACTCCCGACCTCAAGTGATCCACCTACCTTGGCCTCCCAAAGTGTGGCGTGAGCCAACGCACCCGGCCCAGCATTTTGAAATATAATACCAAGAGTTAAAAACGACAGGGGCCAGGAATAGTGGCTCATGCCTGTAATTCCATCACATTGGGAGTCTGAGGCAGGTGGATCATGACGTCTGGAGTTCAAGACCAGCCTAGCCAATATGGTGAAACCCCATGTCTACTAAAATTACAAAAATTAGCTGGGCATGGTGGCACAGCCCGTAGTCCCAGCTACTCAGGAGGCTGAGGCAGAAGAATTGCTTGAACCTGGGAGGTGGAGGTTGCAGCGAGCTGAGATCGTGCCATTGCACCACAGCCTGGGCAACAGAGTGAGACTCCATTTCAAAAAAAAAGAAAAACAACAACGACAGAAACCGCACCCTGCAAGTCAAGAAAAAGCCACAGTGACCACCAGCCTTCAAGGGAGGGAGGCTGGGGCCAAGGGAGGCCTGGGAGGGCAGATCAAAGTTAGTCCTCCAGGCAGCTTTCTGCACGTGCAAGGCCATCCCGTTCACACCTGGGAAGTCCTGAAACCCCATGGCTGCAGCCCCTCTCACCCCATGGGCCTGAGACCTGATGGCCTGGACTGAATCACCCTGATGAAAACATTTTTCTTTTTTTTTTTGTTCTTTGTTTTTCATTTTTCTTTCTTCTTCCCAGTGGGGATCCTTGGTCTAGAAAATTTGGTTCAGTAAAATTTAACAAGAATCCCTACACATGCCCAGCCCTGTGCTAGATTTGGGTGAAAGGAAAAGAATTACCACAGAAAGAGGGTCAAAAGGCACAGCTCCCCTACAATGCTAATTCGAAGGGACAGCTCTGGCACACTCGTGGTCCTATGGAACCCTACAGGCAGCCCTGAGGCCAGAGCAAATGGTCCCTGCCTCACAGATGAGGAACGCAGGCTTGGAAAAGAAAATTTGTTCACCTGAGTGAACAGTGTAGAGCTACAATCAGAATGAGGGCTTCATGTTCAAACATTAAATGGTAATTTTTACGCACTGCTTTAGAGGAGGGGAGAAGGGCACCCCTTGGTCTTGAACTCTTGACCACCAAGCCTGGAATTTGCGCAGAGGACATGACCCCAGACAGGCCCTGTCTGACTCTGGCTGGAACAGCCCAGGACCAGACTTCACCAGGGCACCTCCAGCCACCAGAAAGGCACTTCAGAGTTCCACTCCACCTCCCACTTCATCCTCATTTTACACATGGGCAACAAGAGGCACAGAGGGCTAAGCTGATCCTAAAACAGGAGAGGTTACCGTGATGACAGCAATACCAGGGCAGCCAGAGGGTGCTCCAGGGGGCACGTTTAGGTGCACTTACTTCTCCATCATCACTGCACTCCCCAGCCCTGGTTCTACAGGTTCTTGGCTTGCCCTATAAATTGGAACCTGGCGAGGCGTCTGGATGCCAGGCTCTCAGCTACCCCCAGGGACTGGAACTGCCACTCACTCCTGCTCTCGACTGGAGCCACCCAGCTATCCCACGGTGACCTTGTGAGCAGCCTGGGCCAGCCCCCAGCCTCCAGAGGCCCCCTGCAGCCTGTGGGTGAGAGCTGTTCCACCCAGGAGCAGCAGACACCGCCGCTACTCATCTCCACTTCCAGCAGGGCTGGAGTCCATGAGGGCTTGAAGCTTCTGCACAGAGTGGAGCACAGTGGCCACACTGGTCCCAGTTGAATGTGGGGCCCCTGCAGAAGCTGTAGGCTTGAGCTGGACCTCAGAACTCACTCTTTTTTTTTTTTTTTTTTTTTTTTTTTGAGACGGGGTCTCACTCTGTCATCCAGGCTGGAGCGCAGTAGCGCCAATCTCTGCCTACTGTAGCCTCCACCTCTCAGGCTCAAGCAATCCTCCCATGTTCAGCCTCCTGAGTAGCTGGGAATACAGGCACACACCACCACACCCAGTTAGTTTTTAATTTTTTGGTAGAGATGGGGGTCTCACTATGTTAACCCAGGCTGGTCCTAAACTCCTGTGCTCAAATGATCCTCTTGCCTCAGCCTCCCAAAGTGCTGGGATTACAGGCATAAGTCACCACACCCAGCCAGAACTTACTCTTTTCCCCATTGTATTTGCAGATATTAAAGCATATTTCAAAATCTACTTGGAGAAGAAACCCAACATTTTAGTTTAAGCCTGTCAATCTGTGTAAGTAGCTCTCATCTGTTTTTATCAGTGCTAGACAGGACAGAAAGGTCTTCCACACTAATTTCATTTTTTAAACAAAAGCATTTCATGCCAAAAACAATTCGCCTTTAACAACTGCTGTCACACTAGGGCTACTGCTATCACATCTGAACCTCTCTCCCGAAGGGGGAGGACTCTGTCAACTATTGATAGGAAACACAATTACTTTTAAGCTCCTCTCACCTTAAAATAAAAAGCTAGGTGGTAAACTATTGATGGAAAAAAAAAATGGACTGTTAATGCTGGCAGACGGGATGATAGGTTACTGGGATTGCTTTTCTTTTGCCATCTATCCTAACTCCTCTAGTGCTTTTGTTTTTCTAGATCTGCAAAGTTTTCTCTCCTGGACCCCTCCCACCCCCATCTCCAGGCCCCTCACTTTCTGTGGCCTGACTCCTATGAATACAAAGTGAAATGTTTGAATTAGAAACCCAATCTCACAATCCTTTACTTCATGTTCTTTTTTTTTAATCCTAAGAAAATATCCCTTTGTGTCCAGGTTTGTAAAAATGACTTAAAAGCATTCAATTATCTGGCAGCACCCCCAGCATCTGCAAACAATATGGTCCTGGTTTTACATATGCAAACAAGTCCTGACTCTAAAAGTAAATAAAGGATGAGTTTCTGAGAAAAGACCAGAGACTTTGGGCGAGTTCCCTTCTAGAAGTACTGGGAAGGAGAACTTGAAGTCTGGGGGAAGGGTGGCAAGAGCTCAGGGAAATCCTGGTTTTCAAAAAAGCATTCAGGACGTGGTCAGAGGATACGTTTATGAATGGTCTGTTGGAGCACGAGTCCTGAACACTTCACCAGATGTACTGCATCCTCAAGTGGTTTTGTTCTGAGGAAATACAGATTAACATACAAAAGTAAGATGCAATGACTTATTCCTGTAAAATGCTGTAAATAAGACATTTCTATCCTTTGACTAAAAATTCCTACTCTGGGGAGTGTATCCTAAGGAAATAAATCAGCAGAAGCAAAACACGATATTCATGAAGAAGTTGCACTGCAAAGCAGTGGGAATGGTTTAGTGAGAGATGTGGCATCCCTTGATGAAACCGTCACATCAGGAAATAGCATTATGAAGACTGTGTAGCAACAAGGAAAAATGCTTATGCTACAATAAATAAAACGTCTACATCGATGTCAAAACGCAGACATGGGGGAACAGCAACTAACAAAACAACCCAGGTGGGTGTTGGAATAATGGTGATTTACTTCTTTCTGGGTTGTTGTAATATCATCTTCTCAGTGAAAAACAAACAAAAAAAAACCTGAAAGTAGAAGAAACAATGAAGTCTCCCTGCTGAGGGCAATTTTGGAGTGACGGATTCCAGCTCCAGGATCCATCCTGTGAATACGCACACCACAAACACCAGAGGATAGGCTTGCCAAGAACCAAATGCTGACCACAGGCACAGCTTCTCTGCCCTCCCTCTACCTGCTTACAAAGAGCCAGTTCAGGCCTTCTCACCACCACCAGCAACCAGAGGAGACTCCCTTTCCTGACCCCTTTAAACGTTCTCTTTTGATATCTCACCACAATGATGATAATGATAAATACAACTAAAGTATTATTATCAAGACTTGATTACTTACTATGGGCCAGGCACTGCACCAATTGCTATATCTATTCCTCCTGATACCCCCATGAGGATGGGATTCTTATTATATCCATTTACACATGGGGAAACTGAGACAGAAAGAGAAATGTCAGGGCTAGACTTAAATCCTGGTAGCAACTGACACCGATCACAAGGCATGGCAACCTCTGCTCATGAGTAATGTTCATATCTACAAAAACATTTTTAAAGTTGCCTTTGGGACCAGGTGTGGTGGCTCACACCTAATCTCAGCACTTCGGGAGGCCAAGGTGGGAAGAGCACCTGAGGTCAGGAGTTTGTGACTGTCCTGGCCAAAATGGTGAAACCCCGTTTATACTAAAAAAAAAAAAAAAAATTAGCCGGGTATAGTGGCACATGCCTAGAGCCAGAACTACTGAGGAGGCTGAGGCAGGAGAATCTCTTGAACCCAGGAAGCAGAGGTTGCAGTGAGTGAGATTGTGCCATTGCACTCCAGCCTGGGCAACGAGAGCAAAACTCCGTTTCAAAAAAATAAAATATAAAGTTGCTATCAGAAGCCAAGCAATACATGACTCGGAGAGAAACCAGTACAGTGTTTGCAAACGGCTGGGAGACTGACAGGAATTAACTTCAAGGGCAGCACGGAGATTAAGGGTGACAGAATTGTTCTGTGTGGTCCTGGGGTGGTAGACACATGATTATGCATTTGTCAAA